CTGTCTCAGAGGTAACTAGAACTTTGTTGTCACAATCTCCCCACCATAACGAACTTCTCTGCATTCCTGTGCACAGCCTGTCTTCCCCCTTCTTCCCATTTTTCCACCCCACAGGGGTGGAAAATGAGTAATTAATCACATGGGTAATTAATCACACTGAAGTTATGTAAATTTGCATGGCAATATCTAGACATAGCCCAGGAAGCATTTGGTAAACCAAATAAAGGATTCACTGTTAGATGTATGGCTTTCTAGAATCTGATCTTGCTTCCTGTAGTTACTTGGAGAAGTCTTTCAGTTACATTTCTTCAGTTCATATGCGGTTTCCCCATGAATGACAAAAGACTCTGTGGTGTTTCTGTTCTTCTAGGTCATCACACAGTGTGATTTAGTGTTGCTAGGAATGACATACAGTATCAGTTGAAGAGTTCAGAAAACACTGAAAACTCTTTTGACTAAATTATGTCTTGGATGAAATTGCAGATTTGTTGTACATTAATTTATTAACAGTGGGAATAAGTAGATATACTCCTATAACCATAAGTGCAATCTAGCCTGATGAATGTCTTGTGTTAGTGGCGGATTTTCCTCAGTATTGTCTCATCTAATCTTACAGAATCATTGTATTTTCTAGTTATTCTGATACCCTATTCTTTAATTCTCACTTGCTTTTTTTTTTTCTTTTCCCCCCATCAATCTTCTAGAGTCCAAAAAAGAAAAAAAAGGTAGGTAGGCAGAAATATGCTCTACTTCACGTACAACATTTCGACCATACAACATTTAAAGTTTTCATTTAAATAGTGTGCCAGCACAATTCTGTTATCTTGGAAGTTATATGAGTAAAATTACAAAGTACCTAATGCTGAGATTAAACTGAGCATCGATTACTTCTGGATTTACTGTTAAAACAATATTAATAGGATCCATCATAATACAGGTGTTGTGACACCTTGATAGCATATAAATATGGTTTTTTAAAGAGGAAAAAAATTTTTTTATTTATTTTTTTGATCTGTATTTCTTCTGAGCCAGTAGATCAGGCTCAGTCGAATTTCAAAGAGGAACAGGCATCTCCAGGACACTACGCTTATGTGCCTTTTGCAAGGAGGCTGAGTCAAGTTCCTGCAGAACTAGTAGAGGCAAGGTGGGGAGCGCAGCCGCCATATGTTTCGCTTGGCAGCTGATGTCTGGGCAGAGGGCAGGTGTCCTGGCTTTGAGCTGCAGATGGGACACAGAATGCCATGGGTAGCAGGGACAATGGACAGAAGTCCACGGGAAACTGGATTGCATAAATTCATCCCACGTGTTATTCTTAATTTGGTGATAATTAAGTTATACACCCCTCCCTGCGAAAAGAACACATTCAAACGTGTTCCCTGCAGAACTATGCATCTCAGTTTTGTCAGAACTATGTTAAGTCATAAGATGGTGAAAAGAAATTGACTAAAAAGTGATGATAAGTAACTGAAACAAGCAGATTTTCCACTTTCACTGGAAGAAAAGTAGTCAAAGATTTATACATTTTTTATTTTTTTTTGAACTGGAAGGAACTGATTCTTCCCTAAAACCTTAATCTCTAGAGCTGTGATTTTTACAGACAGTTCCAGGAGAATTTTGCAAAAAAACTCTTTAGTAACAAATGTATTAAGATGCAAGCGGACTCTGATGAGTGTGTATGTTTGTTGCTGGCACTAAATTTTCACTGTTGTTTATGTTTTAGCTTCCTGATAGCCTTTGTATTCAAAGTTACATTTATGTATATATTTACTTCCATGCAAAGTAGTGTAAAGTGAATAGCTTTCTGAGGAGTTAATTGTATCTGAAAATATACTAGTCAGAATTAAAATGTGAAACAATAGTACCTGTAACACACTGTGTTGGGGTTTTTTACATCTGTGCAGCATCTGCCTTCAGGATCAGTACTCTGCCCTGGTACTATTCCATCAGCCCCAGATGGTATCAAAGGTCAGGGCACATTGGCTGCAAGTGTATTATACGTGCAATAAAATGGCAATGTCAACACTGAGTAAAACTGGATAAAAATAATTTAGTCCTTAGTAATGATGTGCTTGGTGAGGACTGCAACCGTAGGCTGCTTTTGCTACCGCATTAACAGGAAATCAGTATTTTCCTTCGGTGTATCTTTAAGTGCTGTTTTGTAGTGACATCCCAAGATTCTGTCAATACAAAAAACAAACACAAAACCCAAACAAAATTATAGTAAAAAATAAAACCCACCCAAGAATCATCTTTTTTGCTAGTGAGGAAACAAGAGAGGAGCTACTGAAACCATCTTCAAATCCAAGCAGGATCATGCTTTCTACATCCTAGCTGTTCAAGTGTCTTGAAGACCACATGCACAAATCTAATTGTCAAATTTTTATGCGTATCGTCAATGAAATCTATGAATGCTGTGAACTACAAGACAAAAATGTGTTCTGTTTTGTTTAGTCTGTTACATAATGGTAGATTTTGCTTGTTACATATTTTGTCTTGTATTTTTTTAAAATGTATACCCAGACCTCAAAGAATTCATAAGGAAGGTAGTTTCTGAGAAACCCAGATTTAAAATATAGTTATTCTAGGATTAGCCTAGAGGTTGAACAGTTACTGTCTTGAGTTGCAGTTAGGATTTTACAACAGAAAGGAGAACACTTTGTTAGTTGTCTTGTGGACTAGATGCTTCTAAATGCCAGACTTGCCTGTGTCCCAGTTGTAACATGTGCTTTCTTAGCAGATCTACCTGTTACTAAATTCCTATATTAGAATAAGAGATTTTAATATTCTCCTGCTGTGGCTGTGTTTGGGAATGTCTGGCATAGAATAATATTGTAAGACCGCATATTGCATCATGAAAATGAGAATAAATTCAGTCCAGCATGTGAACTGCTGTTCTGGAGACCTCATTAACTGTGTAGGGAGTCTGAAATATTAAGTCAGGGATCATATTTAGAAGGGCAAAGTTATAGAGGGCAAATACCTCCTGTAATGTATTAAAGTAATACTGACATTTGTTTTCTTTTAATTTATTGCAAACATTAAGTCCGGTGGCAAAAAGAAAGCTAGCAAAGCTCAACAACTGAGACTACAGAAAGAAGAAAAGGAAGAAGAAAGGAAACTGAAAGACGAAGGTATGGTGCATTTCCTTTATAGGGAATATGATGGCACAAATCACCCAAATAAATGGACAGAAAATAATTTCCTAAACTATATGTGCTTCAATATCCATCTCTGTTTCACAAATACGGGTGGTTCCTCCCTCTAAAAAAGCCAAGTTCTGTGTTGCTTGTTACCACGTCTCACTTTCCTAATAGAGCCATACTCTTTTCTCTAGTTATTCCCGTTGTGATTAGGATCTTGACAAGGAGGATGGCTGGTTGAATTAATTTTTTTCTGCTTTACCATTAACTTTTGAAACAAAACCACAAAACGTTGCATTTATTTTTTGGGTTTTTTTCCCCTCCTCTCAAGCCTAGTTGTAAGTATTCCAGAGAAATTCTCTGAGAAGGACTTTTTCTGTTGGCTGGGGGGGTAGCTGCTGTTCCAAAGGAGCAGCCGTTAGGGTGACTACAACCTAGGACAGATTAAAGTGTAGTTTGCTTGGACTTCTCTCTCTACTGAGTAACTAACTTTCCACCCACTTCTTCAAGATCAGTGTATATCACCGAACCCCTTAAAAGGAAGTCCCAGTGGTGTGACTTAGACCTGTCCTCACCACTTGAACCCGTCTGCTTCTGCAGCTTAGTGTCCCAACCCAATACCCCTGCCTGAACATCAGATCCTTCACTTCTGCTTCCCTTTCTGCCATTCATCCAACCTGGTGGCTCAGGCATGCGACGACTGCTAGTGATAGTGACTGCTTATCACTAGTAACTTTTGTGGATGGGAGTAGCAGCTTGGGTGAGTACAGGCAGATTTGGGAACTGCCATTGCTCTTGCCTCTGTGTAACACAAGATACAGTTGAAGTGATTTGTGTTTAGTTGGTGACATCCAGCCTCCTGTTTGGGAACATCTGGATTGATGCATAGGCTGTGCTAGCCTATGCTTAGAGCTTGAAATCAGTCTTAGTTTTCACATCCTCTCTAATTTTCTACCCTCTATGGTAGCAAAAAAAAAGCTAAAACTGTGATCAGGAGTAGGTGTTCCTGAAGAGGATTTCAGTGAGCAAATAGCTGAGCTACTGTCCTGGTTTTGCTGGGACAGAATCCCAGGCTACCCACGGTGTGCAGGCCGTTGGTAGTTTCGAGTCAGGCAGGAGCTTAAGCTGGGAGAGGCAAAAGCCAGGGCAGCTGACCTGAGGTGGCTAGAGGTGTATCCCATCCCATAAATGTCAGTTTGCTAAGGATGGGGACTCCTTCTCCTCCTTTTAAGAGTTGCTAGAGGGCCCTGCTTATCATTCTGCTCCCGAGGACTGCTTTCCCATTTCATGTGACCACTGTACATTCGCTGGGCTGAGTATAAATTTGAATACTGTATATTGGCACTAGTATTAATATTAGTTTTGCTGTTTCATTAAACCTGTTGTCATTTCAACCCACAAGTCTCCTCTCCTCTTCCTGATCCCCCTTTCTTGGGGGCAATCGTTGGGTGATAGAACAACTTCTATAGTTTACCCCCAGCTATGGACGGGTACCCACTGCAGGTTGTAGGAAGGGAGAAGAATAACTTGGGGCTGAACCACTTGAGCAGTTTCACAACAGATAAAGAACCTGGGCCTGGTTGAGGTGTGGGCAAAGGAAGAGGGCACTCCTGCTGGTGGTTCTGAAGGGAAGAAGAGGATTTGCTGATCCTTGTAATCGCTCGTAGTGTCACAGGCTGGTAGGTGTAATGCTGGAGGTAGCATGGCTCATTTGAAAGATTTCTGGGCAATATAAGATATAAATTTATGTTGCTCATTGTTATGGTTGTTTCGTCATTACAGCTAATAACAAAATAATTTGTCTGGTTTTATTAAGCAAGATATAATTACGCTCTTGATGCATTATTTTCTAATCCCCAGAGGAAGCCCAATTGCATGCTCAACAAGAAGAAGCAGCACGACTTGAAAAGGAGAGAATTGAACAAGAGCTGACGGAAAAACTTGAGGCAAAAGTTAGTTCATATTCAGTTACTGAAATGTTCCAATCCTGTTTCTAAACTTGTGACAAGGTCTGTAAAACAGTTTTAATTTAGTGTGAGAATGGAAAGGAATTTCCTAATGTCCCTAGTGGTGGGAACAATGTAGAGGATATTTTTTGGCATCAGTAGGTAAAAAGTAATCATGAAAAATCTAGCCAAACCACTGAAAGGTACTCTTGTATAAGATCCTGCAAGTTGAGAAGGTAGGGAGCTGGATTAGTAATTAAGTAAAACACAATAAATGTAAAGTCAAGAGAAATGGTGATGATTTGTTTTCTGTAGTATGCTTTCTCTAAGCCAGTATTTGGCTTTGACTCAGAAAAATTCCCTAAGATGAGATACAATCTTTCCTGCTTTTAATATAGAAACATGCTGTAGTTTAACACATTTAACTTTTGCAATGTTTGAATAAATACTTCTTTTTTTTTTTCCACTATACTTTCAATTGGATGTATTTTTCATATTCCCCATAATTACATTTGGTACAGTTGTGGGAAGAAGATTTTAGTATAAATACTGAAAATGTTTGTATGTTTGGGCAGATGCATTGATTTGTTTGTGCCCATGTTTTTGTGTGTGTATTTGAATATGTATGTTTATTCTTCTGAGAAGACTGGAATTCAGAACAAAAACTGATTGGTAATATCTAAATAATTTTGTGTTTTCAAAAAAGAAGAAAGAAGGAGGTTTACCACAAAAAGTTTGTGTGGGGTTGTGGGGTTTTTTTTCGGAACAAGGTCACTCTTGCCTGTGCCTCTTGTCCTTCACAGAATATTTTTTTTCCCCTAGGGAGAAGAGGAATTTAAGATAATAGAAATTATAACAAAAAAACCAAAATAATCTTGTACACATTTTTTCAACGTATGTTTACATTTTTTAGCAGCTCTCATGAGAGGTAGTTCCAGGATAATGGTATGGAAACTGTTCAAGTGAGAGGTTAGCAATCATATGACGCGTTATGTTTATCATATGGCTCAGCAAGTAATGTGATTACAATAATGTATTGTGAACTACTGCAGTCCTCTCAATTAAATGTTTCATTAAAAAGCAAGTTATCAGTGTATGGATTTGTTTAAATGATAACTAGTTCAAATATCCCATGTTTTTCTTTGATGTAAAGTAATTGTAAGAAGAAAGGCAAATATTTAACTCCTCTCTTTCACTTCTACATATTTTAACAGTATCATGAGCGAAAGGATTCTGAACTAGCAGAACTTCATTCACTGGAACAGAAGTTTTTGTCTGCACAACAGTGGAAAACAGATTATAGAGCATATACAAAGGTAATCTTTCTTTCCAAAATCATCCCAATGTCATAGAGGTTCAATAATGAAGAGACTGCAGGCTATATCTCCATTGCAGGATCCAGAAATGCTTCCGTTTCTTTGACTTAGGAAGGCTGATCAATATATTATGGCCCCACAGTTTGCCCCAGCAGTCAAGAGGAACTGTAATTTCAGGTGTTTTGGTATTTGTCCTTCCTTTTCTACTTGTTTAATTCATTCTACTTTTAAATATTCCATAAAAGAGCTCTACCAGGGCTTTAAAATATTTTGAAGAATTTGAGCCGATTCCTCCAGTGGTTCCTGGATATCATAGGTCATCATTCGGAGGAAGGTTGGCCAAAACTTTGAAGGACACGTCACAAATCTGGGTCACATGTCAGGGCTGGAAATGTGTGAAAATGCCACTAAGAGTTAATGTCTGCAGTTTAGGATGACCTACATGGTGGATGAATCATCACCCAATAGTACTAGATGCCTGTAAAGTTAAATTTTTAATAGTGAGATATGGAAATAAGCTAGTAGAACATTTCACTCTTGTGAGTCCATCTTGCAGAAACATCATTCAGTAATAGTCTGATGTGAGATCATGTCGCCCTGGTACCAGGTAAGGTTAAGTAGACTTGTGGGCACAAGGATTTCCTCTTTGTCTTGTACGTCACTTAATCCTTTATAAAGCCTCTCTGGAATCAATTTAGAATCATAAGTCACGTTAGAAGGAACTTCTGAAATTCATATAGTTCAACCTCCTACACAAAGCAGGGCAAACTTGGAAGTTGGATTAAGGTGCTCCATTGGGTTTTAACAATCTTTTGTAAGGATGGGGACACCACATATCTCTGGACAACCTTTTGTCTCTTTTATTACTCCCATTGTAACAATTTTCTCCAAGTCCAATTGCCATTTCCCTTGTTAGAGCTCGTGTTCATTGCCTAATTGTCATGATATGTCACCCTTGAGGAACATTTGCCTCTGTCTTTTCGATAAAACCTCTCTAGGTACTGCTGGACTAACAAAGCTCAGCCTTTCCTTTTGTGCCATTTTCTCCAGTACCCTAAGCACCTTAGTGTTCCTCCTCTGGACCCTCCAATTTACCACTCTTTCTCTCGTACTGAGGGACACAAAACTGGATACAGCCCTGCAGAGGGAACAATCGCAGGCTTGCTGGTTACACTTTTCCTGGCATAGCCCACTGTGCCCTGAGCCTTTGGTGCCACAAGGGTGCAACCTGATAACTTCACAGTTACATCTTCACAACTTTTGGGTGATTTTGGGACAAGGAACAATGAGTACAAGCTGGAACGTAGGAGATTCCACAAAAATATTAGAAAAAACTTTTTCACTGTGAGGGTGACAGAGCCCTGGCACAGGCTGCCCAGGGGGATTGTGGAGTCTCCTTCTCTAGAGACTTTCAAAACCCGCCTGGACACGTTCTTGTGCGATCTACTGTAGGTGATCCTGCTCTGGCAGGGGGGCTGGACTGGATGATCTCTAGAGGTCCCTTCCAACCCCGAACATTCTGTGATTCTGTGATTCTGTGATTTTTATTACCTTTTTTCAGTTGATAACAAGCTCTGGCTTTATTATCCTTGTGAACAAGAGAATCTGTTGGTCATTTTGAAAGGAGATTGTTGTTGTTTATGGATGTTTCTGAAAAGTATTTCTTGGAAGGAGAAACATGAGATCTTTGTTTGTTTTGAAAAGTAATGGTAAAACAGAACTACTATTTTAAAAATAAATTTTCATGTAACATACTGATAGATTATGGGAAATACCAGTGTGTATTAGTTTGCTGTTATGAATATTTAGGGCAAAAGAAATGGGTAGTACTAAACGCTGAGTTTTCACATCTAATTCTGGACAATTTCAATTCAGATTAACAGATACACTCACCTATTACTGCTTTTTTTGGAGTCAGTAGAAATGTGGTTGGGAATGTGGTTGTACAAGTGCTTTTGCTTTAAAAGACCCATTCTACATTGTAATGCAGTCTTTAGTAACATTGTGTTATTAATCTTCACAGTAAACAGAGAGGCAATATCTCCTTAATATCTTACTATATGGGTGAAAAAAATTACATTATAGGTGATAAATTGATCCTGTGAGCCAATACTAGGCACATGTGCAGAGTTAAACAACAGGTTTAGCCTGTCGCTGGTTTTTATATTTTTCTGCATCTGTAAGAATTACCAGTAATTGATTTGAAAAGAAAAATATCTAGTGTTTCACATTCCCTTCAAAGATTTATGTAACAGCTGAATTGGTGGTGGTAAGGAGGCAGAAATCTCATTTGTAGGATCATAGAATCATTAAGGTTGCAAAAGACCTCTAAGATCATCAAGTCCAACTGTTAACCTAACCCTACCATGATCACTAAACCATGTCCCAAAGTGCCATGTCTACACATTTTTTGAACACTTACTTACACAGATGGTGACTCCAGTACTTCCCTGGGCAGCCTGTTCCAATGCCTCACCACTCTTTCAGTAAAGACATTTTTCCTAATATCCAACCTAAATCTCCCCTGGTGCAACTTGAGCCCATTTCGTCTTGTCCTATCGCTTGTTACATGCGAGAAGATACTAACACACACCTTGCTACAACCTCCCTTCAGGTAGTTGTAGAGAGCAGTAAGGTGTCCTCTCAGCCTCCTTTTCTCCAGATTGAACAACCCCAGTTCCCTCAGCCACTCCTTATACCACTTGTTCTCCAAGACCCCTCACCAGTTTCATTGCCCTTCTTTGGACATGCTCCAGCACCTCATTGTGTTTCCTATAGTGAGGGGCCCAAAACTGAACACAGTATTTGAGATGTGGCCTCACCAGCGCTGAGAACAGGGGCACAATCGCCTCCCTACTCCTGCTGGCCACTCTATTTCTGATACAGGCCAGGATGCCATTGGCCTTCTTGGCCACCTGGACACACTGCTGGCTCATGTTCAGCTGGCTGTCCACCAACACCCTCAGGGCCTTTTCTGCCGGGCACCTTGCCCGTCCCTCCTCCCCAAGCCTGTAGCGCTGCCTGGGGTTGTTGTGACCCAAGTGCTGGGCCTGGTACTTGGCCTTGTTGAATCGCATACAACTGACCTTGGCTCATCTAGGTCCCTCTGCAGAGCCTTCCTACCCTTGTGCAGATCAACATTTCTCCTCAATTTGATGTCATCTGCAATCTTACTAAGGGTGTACTCAATCCCTTCATCCAGATCATTGATAAAGATGTTAAACAAGATTGGCCCCAAACCTGAGCCCTGGGGACACCACTTGTGACTGGCCACCAGCTGGATTTAACTCTGTTCACCAACGCTCTCTGGGCTTGGCCATCCAGCCAGTTTTTCACCCAGCAAAGAGCACACCTATCTAAGCCGTGAGCCACCAGCTTCTCTACAAGAATGCTGTGGGAGATGGTCAAAGACTTTACTGAGTCTGGGTAGACAATATCCACAGCCTTTCCCTCTTCCGCTAGGCAGGTCACCTGGTGGTAGGAGGAGATCAGGCTGGTCAAACAGGACCTGCCTATCATAAACCCATCTTGGCTAGGCCTGATCCCTTGGTTGTCCTGCATGTGCTGTGTAAGCGCACTGTTCCATAATCTTCCCTGGCACTTAGGTCAGACTGACAGGCCTGTAGTTCCCCAGATCCTTCTTCTGGCCCTACTTGTAAATGGGCATCACACTGGCTTCCTCTGCCTCTTCATCCTGGTTGGGTGGTCTATAACAGACAGGATATCTGCTTTGTTGGCCTTCCCCCTCATCCTTACCCATAAGCAATCAACGTTACCATCACAGTTGTTGAGCTCTATGCAATCAAAACACTCCATAACATACAGAGCCACCCCACTGCCTCTCCTTCTGAAGAGCTTAGAGCCATCCATTGCAGCGCTCCAGTGATGACAGTCATCCTACCATGTTTATGTGATGGCAACTATGTCACAGCTATCCTGCTGCACAATGGCTTCCGGCTCTTTCTATTTGTTGCCCATGCTGTGTGTATTGCTGTAGATTGCACTTGATTGATTTCACCCCCAACATTGGTATTGTCACCCCTAGGCTCACCTCTAGAGAGCCTGGTTTTATCCCCTTCCCTCTTTTAACCTAGTTTAAAGCCCTCTCAATGAGCCTTGTCAACTCATGAACAAGAATCCTTTTCCCCTTTTGAGACAGCTGAACTCCATCTGTCACCAGATGCCATGCTCAGTGCCATGTAAACCTCCCCATGATCAAAAACCCCCAAAATTCCACTGATGGCACCAGCCTCTGAGCCACGTGTTAATCAGATGTGTTTTCCTGTTCCTTTTAGTATCCTTCCACTGAAGAGATTAAGGAAAACACTACCTGTGCTCCTCATCCTTCAACCAATCGCCTCAGTGCCCTGAAGTCCCTTTTGATCACTTTTGGACTTCTGTTCGCAACCTTGTCACTGCCAACCTGCATAACCAGTAGCGGGTAATAGTCAGAGGGCTGTACCAGACCACAGAGTTTCCTGGTAACATCTCTAACCATGACCCCTGGAGGGGCAGCAGACTTCCCTGTGGGATGGATCTGGCCAGCACATGGAGCCCTCTGTTCCACTCAGAAGGGAGCCACCTTCAACAATTACCTTCCTTTTTTCCTTAACAGAAGCAGTCATAATGTGTGGGGCTGACTGACTCACACTGGGCAACCCCCTGGATGGACTTTCTACATTCTCATTTGACTGGTTCTCAGGTTCCAGAGTCCCATACTTGTGTACAGTCAACTGGGATAGAGAGAAAGGAGGAATAAACATGGAGTAGAAAGCCCTTAAGCAGTAGGAAGTTTTGGTTTTGTTGACAGTATCTGCTTTGAGAACTATCTGCCCCTTCCACCCATATGGTCCCTCATTTATCTTCTCGGTCATTTATTCTTTGAGCCCCTCATTTGTGGCAGGTACTGAATTTGTTGCTTTTGCAGGCATGCAAGCTCTACCTATTGGAACAGAAACCACTGATAAATGAGAAGATGTAACTAGCAAATGTTAGGTGGGCAGAAGAATCCTACCACATTAATATTAATGAACTATTTTTTTTCTTGCATATCAAAGCCAGGTGGTGTTACAGTCCTGTTTGGATGCAGGGGTGAATGTATCACTATATTTGTCTTTCAGAATCTTCCTTTTTCTTGAAATAATGGTAGTCATTTGCACCACATGCCCATATCTACTTTTCTTTGAATGTTTTCTGTAGTGGGAGCATTACCTCGGTTGCGATGGAAGTCCTGACCCAGCTGTACTGCCGGAAATAAATACTTTCATGAGCTTATGGCGTGAAGATCAAAATGAGGACATACAACTTGTGATGGAGAAGGGAGAACAGGTGCTAAATGTAAGTGTTAAGATGGTATTTTTCAGTTTAAGCTTACCAGAATGTGTCCTTAAGAGCCCCCTTCCCCTTCCTTTATTTTTCCTTTTCCTTTTTTTTTATTAGCCAAATGACTGAAATTGGCTATAATCTTCAAAACCCAGAAGTTCTTCTTCAGTTTTTACATTTATTTTAGTTAGATTGATTGTTACCTCTAAAGAAGATGACTGTTTCTAAAAACGCTGTGCATTTAAGGGATTTGTTTGCAATGTTTCTGCCCTGAATATCCCAACATCCCTCTTCCCTTCTTTAAACAGTCTTTAACCAGAACATAGAAGCTCATGTCATGTACAGATGCTTCAGTGGGCCACAGCTTTATTGTGTAACACAGCCATTGTAGTGTCATGGAAGGAGTTTCCCAGATGCAAGTCACCAGCCATGGATTATTTGTGAGGCAATTTCAAGTAATTTGTGGCTGCTCTGTAAATTTAGGGTTTCTTCTCACCTATGCTAACTTTACAGTGTTCTTAAGAGCGTTAAATGGGGTCTTCAAGAAATTGAGGCTGAGATTCGCGTGTGTAATATGAATTTCATTGGGCTGCTTTGGTTCCCAAGTGCCAGTTTTCCTATCTTGCAATGCTTGCTGGGTGCTGCAGTTTTCACCTTCCACCTACTGCCTTTTTCTGAGCTGACATGGAAAGTGCCAGTCCTTTCTAGGAATTTCAGCAGAGAACTCCTCCCTTTCACTTCTACACCGCAGCCCAAGCAAAAAGCCTGGCAATTGCCCATTTCTGTCTCTTCTCACCACTCTGCTCCCTGCTGTGCTTGGTAGAGTATTCTGTGATACTATGAGATAGGCCGTTCTAGTTCATGCATCCTGGGAATGCAAGATGATGTCAGAAAGACTGCCTTTTCTTGGTCCGAAACACCTGAGCATTTCTTTGCTGTTCTTCATGTTTCCAGGGGAAACTGTTAAACACTGAGCTGTGGGATTGTGTCGAGGTAGACCATATTAAAGGTGCAGTATAAAAAAGGCAGTAGTTATGTCTGCTACTTTCTGAGGGATAAGAATCTGGCAAGTCTGGGAGGTAGGTGTGAAACATAATCTGATCCTCCCTTCATCCCAGTGCTGCAAGTCACTTGGACCAGTGAGGAATTTTTTAGTTCTACACTAGTTGTTAAGATATTAACATGTAATGGAAGACAACAATGTTATGACAGTGTTATTCCAAACTCCACAATAAGGATTTTCTAAGAATTAAAATGCAATCGCTGTATGCCTTCCTATTTTTTTTTAAGATTTTATAGTTGAGATTATTACTATAGAAAATATATTTCCAAAATAAAGCTGTAAGCTTTTCATTAAAACTAGTTTTTGACCAAAAAATATTTCTTCATCTGACCAATCCAGTTCAATAAATGATCTATTTAATAAGCTAAGATATCACAGCTCACAGGATATGGAATGAAGGAATTGGACTAGAGGAATGGAAGAAGGCAGACTTGAGCCTGGAATTTCCAACATTTTGCATGGTTGACTGTTTATCTGATAACACTGGCTTAGCACAATTTCTAGAGATACAATAGGAAAAAATTATCTCTGCGACCAAGATATGCTTAGGTACAAAGGAAGCAAGCCTGCCTCAGTTGTTATAACAGAATACAGAGTGTCAAAACAAAGATACTTTTTCCACTTATTATGTCTTTTAGTTAATTGAGAAGTTGCAGTTTCTTTTATTGGACACACCACCAAGTGAGATAACAGAAAAAGAAACAGTCCAGTACCAGGAATCTATTCTGGAATTGCAGAATTTACTTCATCAGAAGTACAACGGAGCAACAGAACACCTGCTGAAAGTAAGATCTCCTACTTCGAAGTTGTACTATGCACAATGCACATCACGTTGGCTACAAGTATCTTTTGATGGTTGGTTTTAGTTGTTCTCAAATTGTGACAGAGGTTAGTGATTCAGTTTCCAAATCTGGTATTTGAATTTCCAAGTCACTTGTATAGCAGATACCAGACTTGTGTTTCTTCAAAACCCCTGCAAATCTTAGCTTTACACTGGAAATTCCCATCATTAAGATGTTTAATTTAATTAAATTATTGTGAAATTTTGTGAGATTTAGAGTTGTTGGAAACCAGGGCCATTGGATGAAAATTGTTTCCTATTTTGTCTCAGGGATTTAAATGAAAGTTGATTGTATAGAAAATTACAACTGTGAAGAGCAGGTCATAAGGTTAACTTATGAATTTTTTAATGTGTATGCATTCGTACACATTTTTTAATACAAGTTCAGACTAAAATATTTTTTAAACTAAGATCTTGGGAAGAATAAAGAGTATTTAAACAAGAAAATTAAAATGTACTTGGGAATCGGTTTTCTGGGTTGCACGTATAGGGCTGCTATTTTAGGTATATTGATCATATATGTAAGTATGTTTAGCAAAAGAATATCACTAGAGGAGACTCCTAATGTAATTATCATTTCACAAGTTTTATACTGACAAAACTATAAAATAATCTGTGCAGTGACTGTGACGTAGGAGTGCTTTATGGCTCAGTATAGTTTTGGGGTTTTTTTTAACTTATCCTGAGAAGTATTTCTGAGGGCACATGATTAAGGGAGATAGGCAGTACCATTGAAGGGGATAATGAAAGATCTCATATTTGGCAGTACTTGACTTACAGAGTTGATGAAGTCAGAGGAAAAAAAAAAAGAACGTAGTTCAAATTTTAACAGAGATTTGAGTTTATCTGTCATGTTTTAGTGCATACAACATACCTGAGCTTGGTCTGGTGTATTTTTATTTCTACATGTCTTTTTTTTTTAAATTTATTCAAGTGTAAATGTAAGTAAATCAAAGTGATATAAGTAACAAGAAAACATGTTTTAATTAGCTTTTTTTTTTTCTTTGTAGACAGCTAATATGCATGAAAGTCGAAACATGCAGGCAGTCACAAAGGGTAAAAATGTTACTTTCTGTATTTGGGCCAATCTGAAGAAGAATGTAAGGTACAGCATACTGAAGTTCTTAATTTGATATGAGGCCTGGCCTTGTCTACCCAAATCAAGTAAACACCAAGAAGCATTTTTTATGTTGAATAGCATTCATACTACAGACTCCCAGCTGATGTATTTCATATTAGCCTGTTGCTAAGGGAGGTTACTGTTTTCATCAGAGTTTTTTTTCAAGAAACAGAAGTGTTCTATGTATGTCTATACATATGTATATATATATAATTTGTTCCTTCAAATGCTACAGCAGAACCCTGCTACAGCCGGAACAATTTTTAAAGGAAAACAATAAAACTCATGCAGAAAATTGAAATTCCTCTGGAGGTAGTGTTTCTTGCTGATGCATAAAATAGTTTCTAAGCTATTGCAGTTGCTTGCAAAGCATTGAATGATGCTTTGTGCTCAGCTTTCTGTTAGACAGAAGATTCTAGAGCCTGTGATGCAAATATGCTTCATAATGGATTCTGAATCTAAGTGGGTTCTTTATTACATTACCATTTAACTGCTATATTTTTCAAAAGATTTTTGAATGAACTTCTGACTCCCACTCCACAAATGTGAGGAATGAATTGGTAAAAGGACTTTGGCTTGACTAAGGACCTGTTTCTGTAAGCTTTGCAAAGGTAATTAGGAGGCTGGGTCCTGAACAGTGTCAGACTGGCCCACAGGAAGAGCTCATCTGGATTAGTGTTAAAGCCTTTTGGTCAGCTTAGTGATGCATTTAAAATTTTTCAACTAAGAATAAAAAAATAAATGTTGCTTTACCGGAAGATTTTTAGAATTGTGACCAACGGATCTTATCTGAAAATAAGTAGTATGTGATTTGTCCTGGCTTTGGTTGGGCAGGAAATGCAGTTAGTAACAAACTTGCTTATCTGATGAAGGAACCCAAATTCACAAGTTAGATACTTGATCTGATGCAAGTTGGCCTCCTGTGCTGCCCTTAGCCTGTTTCCTACACTGTCAAAAGGATTGGTGGCTGTGTAATACCATTGATTGTCAAAATTAGCTTGACATCTGTGTATCTCCTTGAGTTTCATATAGAGGATGCTGAGACCGATGCAACACGGACAGCTGATGACTTCACTTATGTAGGATTTGGCCATTAATTTAGTTAGTTTACCAGGAATGTAATGTGTCGAAGAGCTGTCATCTGATTCTGCCCCCCTGTCAGGACCATTATTTTTGCAGCTCCTGGCCCCCTTAATGCAGTTACTGCTTTTCTGGAGGGACTTACAGGCAGCTGGCAGTGCAAGACAGAATCCTGACATATCATGACATCCCACTCTATTACTTAGACTGTGCTGTGCAACACAAGACAATTCAGGTGTAGAACACCAGTGTGAATACATATGGAGATATATAAGAGTAAGTGCCGCCAATCTTACTAGGGGATGTTATTTTTTTTGCTTCACAGGTTTAAAAATCACGTGTTTTTTGATGCAGAGCATGGATTTGATCTTCCACAGTCAATGGCTATGAGCAACATTGCCGTTCGCATATTGCATACTCATTATGATCATGTATCTCCACTTTGGCTGCAGTGCCAGAGTGTGCCGAAATTGGAAGTCTTAGATGGTGAAGAGTTAACGCAACATTCAAAAAACAGTGTAGAAGAACCAGAAGAAGAGGAAGTGAAAGTGAGAGAAGAGCCCAGTTTGCCTGCTGAAGCATGTTCTGATGGAAGGAAAGTAGGTAGAAAAATCTCATAGAAGAGTGTTCTATGATGCTGCTGTTAGTTGGGGCTCTTTTGCACTGTAACAGCTTCTCAGTGTGTCCTGTGCCTGAGAGTGCCAGATTCTTAAACGTTTTATAAAAAACGGCAACTTGTGTTAGTGCTATGTCATGGATATTCTTGAGGAAATGGAAAGATGAATGACAAATGACTGTCATACAGAAGGCAGAAAGGGAAGTTTGGACAGAGCGTGGTAGTTGCCGTGCAGTCAGCATATGTGAGTTGGCATTTGGTTGGCAGTTTAAGAGTTGCTCAAGCCATGAGCAACATCAAGTGCCATTGTAAGGTGTTTCCATAAATCTGTGACACATACCCAGATGAAAGGATTCTACTTCTGAGGAACTGAGAAGCCCCAGAAAAATCACTGGAGGAGTACACTATTAGGAGAATTCTTGGCATGCACAGTAGGATTCAGAGTTCAGCAGGTGTTTGAGCAGTGCCTTGGTTGCTTGTGTCTGTATGCTGAAGCCGTTGCCACTAGAGGGATTCCCCTTTACTGCTGCTGCTTGCTGGATTCCTCTTATCAGCACTCCTCAGTGCACTATGTTGGCTTTAGGTGTTTTGGCAGTCGTGTGGGTTTGTATTCTTCTTACTGGGTTTCGATGATTTCACTTGCAGTATCATCTGTGACCTGCAGATAAATTAATTGTCTTCTTTATCTAAAATTTCTGCACAAAAACCTATAAACCATCATGTTTTATACCTTCTTACTATATTTGGGCAACAATCCTTGCCTTTCACTTTTTCAGTCCCAGACACCTTTGTAGTGAATCAGTGCCTGAAATCCCGTCTTTCTTGGTTCCCTTTTTGTTTTGTTTGTATAACTAATCTTGTCTTCTGGCAGTTTTCACCTACATTTTTTCCTCAAGCTCCTCATCTCATTCCTTCTTTACTTTGCTGGGTCTTACTTCCTCTCCAACCAGTTTTGTGCATTTTCCTGTTCGCTCCTGAAGACTCCACTTCTCTCAGCTCCTGCAGTCTTTCTTCCTGACTGGCTCCGTTTTGAGTTCCCCCACCTTTATGGGTGCCAACACTTCTTTCCCTTCTGTCCTGTTTCAGGACACATGTGCTCTTCCCCTATGCTGGCAGGAGCAACGCAGAAGGTGCCTGTGCCTCCTCACAGGTGGCTCATGTGCTGAACTGCTGCTTGTCTGCTGCTGTGCTCCTGGAGGAGTCTGCTGTGACAGGAGTGACTGTATCTGGGTTGGAAATCTGGCTGGCAATTTAGGGTAATATTTTGAAAACAGAAAACAGTGCGAGAAAAGGAATGACTATCATGGGCAAGGCACAGGCTAAGACTGGAAGTGGGGGTTCTGGCAGAGTTTCAATATGGCTTCAGATCCAGCATTGCATTACGATTTCCGTGTGTCACTTCTAGCTGTAAAGTCGACACAAGGATAATTTTTGAGTGCACACACTGCGAAAAAGGTTAAGTGCTTGTATGCTGCTTGGGGAGCTTGAGATGGAGTTCGCTGTGGAAATTAAGTAATTATGTTTTTATTTCCGGTTCCAAAGTACCCGGAGAGTACCTTTAATCAAAACTGGTTTTTTTGCTAGTTAGATAGAAATGATTTGTGCTAAAACCCTGACTCTGTAGCAAGATTGGTGGAAATGTTGCTGGAGGAGTGGGACTGTTCTGTTTCTCCTTTGGCCTTCCTGAGGGAAGTGATAACCTCTTCTTTATTCTGTCTATCGCTGACTAATGAAAAAGGTCTTCTTTTATATAGAGTGCTATCCCATTCAAAGAAAACAGCAATAGCATGGCTGCTAAAAATGAGACAGAGGAGGAAATTGAGAAGAAATCAGAAATTTTGCACATACAGTCACAAGGTATTTGGCTAGTTTTTATATGTAGCATTACAGCAGTACTTTAAATATTTTATATATGGAGATATTGTGATTTAGAGCTCTCTGTGTGAATGGAACAGTGTTTATAAATATACTGATGTTTTGATAACACTTGAGTTTTGTTGACATTTCTATTAATACTTGTTCAGTGCAGGGAGAAAATGGGACAGATAGGAAAATGGATTTTGTCCCCATACTTAATTTATTGTTCATGTTTATGTACAGTTGTGTACTAATCACACGTTTATGGGTGAGACCGTCTTTGTGAAGTCTGCCAGGCTGTCTAGTGAGACTGACTTCCTCAGGAAAAAAAAAAATTCAAATGCATGTAATGATAGGCACTCAGGTAGCATAGGTATTGCTGAGTATTACTTAACTGTGTGCATAAGGCAAGATGCATGCTGGTGCACTTTGCTAAAAGAGGGTGTAGTTCTAGGAACTAAAACTGTTTATCTATCCCACATAAGTTAAGTTACAAAGTTCTTCAGTGTTGCGGTGTCTTTTGGTTTAGTAAGAGCGAGTTTTCTTGTAGTATTGTCTTAAACCAAATGCAAGCAGCATAGTTTAGCTGAACTGTACAGTCTTTTCCTTTTTGTAGAAAAAAAAAACACCACAAAAAAAACTCCCAACCACACCCCATTCCACTTTCTGCTGAGCAGTCCAAGCAACCAGTTGTCAGAATAGACTGTAAAAACCACCTAAATAAGATGGTGGTTTTTTTAAAGAGACTGTAAAGAACTTGGGCTTCAGTTGGAGGAATTTGCTATTTTAGTTTGGTAATGCTTTGAAAAATCACTACCATGGTAGTAGGTGAAATGTGTGTGCACAGTAGTGTACTAATTTTAACTGAATGTCTTCAAGCTTGTTTATCTGCATTAATAAGGAGAGAAGGCTGAAACTGTGCTTTCGCTGGCATGCGAAATTAGATTTGCTAACCTAGTCAACCCCTCTTCAGAATGTATTTTGACAGGATACTCGGCTACTACAAATTTAGTGAAAACAGGCCGCCAGGTAGACTAGTTTTTTAAAAAGCGTATAGACAGTTTATGTAGATATTTGTCATGTTTTGAGATCATGTCACTCTCTAAAAGCAAGTTTCAAAACACAGTAGCTATTTTTACAGCGTTGAACACTTTTTCTTGATCCTCATCAATGGTAATTTTGTCCTCCTTCAGTAACATCCAGTGCAATGTTTTCCATGGTCTTTCCATGGACAGGAATTAGCAGGGCTCATTTGGAGAG